TCGTAATCACTTATCGCGACTATACTCTTATCACAAGTAAGGATTCTCAATGCGTTTGTTAGCTTTCTAGTTGAGATGGATGAATATCTAGTCACCATAGCCTAAAAAGACGAAAAAGGACAATATTTAGATCTGTATCAAGTGTTTGAGTATAGATATGATAAGCACACAAATAACACAACAGTGATTTAAAAAATAAGCACCAAACATGCCTCTATATATTGGCTTATAACTCAAGCTATTGGTGATCGATGACACCCCAGTAGTGTCAATGTTACATTTGAGTCGTTACTTTGGTGTTGATGCTTATTCTACGTGATAAAGAACTAAATACCTTAAAACAATGCAAAAGCTCTCCTCTTGCAAGGAAACTGGAGGTAAATACTTTAAGCTCTGTGCAACAATGTGCGAGTAGTCGTTCTACCTCAACATTAGTTTATAAGATCTTCATATTCTATGTATTTTCTCAGATATTTATCAGAAAATTATAAAGTCTAAACCAACTGTATAGTGAAAATGGAACTTTGCTGATACACAGCCAACATATGCCGCGACTGAGGTGGTACATGACACTACTTTATCATATCTAGTACGGTGATTCAGAACCTCAACAACCGAAGATTTTCCAATTATACAGTTGAGGTCTTACCAGAGAACAACCAACATACAATCCAGGGATATAATATGGAGATAGCAGTTGTCTAAATCACCAACTGCTTCACCTTGTAGTATGGTCTAGTCTCAACAAAGAGGAACTAGGCAATACAATCCATTTAGTGATCATCGAGAGGCAGGGACACGTACTTTAAGTTCGATCCTATATAATACTGAAACCAATGCAACTGCAGCTATCAGGAAAATCTGGGGCTCATATACAGCATTAGTCAGATTATAAGTTTTATCCCCTGGTCCAGTCATACTAAAGTAAAATATTCCTGACTCTCAGTACATATTACTAAAGAAACATATCCAATTCCTCTACTAAATGGTGTGGTGCTGAAGGACCACGTAATTTGTCTACATTTCTCTGTTGCCACTCTCCTCTTTCTGCATACCATTTTAACTAAACTTTTATTACGAGTGTACCATCTCATATTTTAGTATCTTTCTAACTAGAAAAACTTGAAATACCAGATTGAATCATTTCACAACTTAAAACCAGCAATTAGTAGGACGTAAAACCTTTTGACATCATAAAAATTAAGACAGAAGAAGCTACATAGCAACTAGAAAATGGATTACAACCAAAAAGGTTTACTTTTTGCGACGAACTTAGAACTCCAATGCTTGTTTCTTACTTATTAACATAGAAAAGAGGTTTGAGAGTGATTATTTTGATTACCTCCTTTGCAAGTTCACTAGAACTGAGTACAACAATTGTATTTGCGCCGGTTTTGATGGAATAAATAGGTCCATAAGTTTCAGCCCAATTTGTAAATGTCTTGTGTGGTTTTTTCTCAGTCATCTGCAGCAAATTCCCTATCACTGGTAACCCTGGAACCTCTGCACCAAATCAACACACACTTCTCATCTACATTTACCTATTTACATGCTATATGCAAACACAAACGAATCTCACGTCGACACAGAACATAACACATACGTAGAAAATTGCTAAAGATTTCAACATTTTAAACATAATTTAAATCACAAATCCTCCTCTGGCTATATGTTACAAACTCAACAAATTGGGGGCAGGGTTAGTAAACCTGTTCACGTGAATCCAATAGCTTTTTTTTTAATTCTGAATTCATTAAAAAAAATCCACTAAATATCTATAAATGTTTGATTATAAACACAGTTAATTATTATATATCAATTCGATGTAACTACAACAAACCTATAAACTTCAAGTCTCGAATCTACATGTGTTGGGGCCCATTAAATAAACTCCAAATCCCAAATCTGTGTTGGGGCCCATTAAATTCAATCCAAAAAATGGGGCAAGGTTTACAAGGCGAAGAATCAACCCATCACCGCCGTTTAGTCAATCAACTGAACTACTGAGATTCCGCAGAATTGAATACAAAAATACCCAAAAGTAATGAATTTACCTGGAACAGGTGGGAGAAAATTTGGAGATTTCCTTTTTTGATCATTAACATACTCTTTAAGTAACCAAAATGAAATCCCACCAAGAGCAACAACTGGACCACCCACAGTAAGAGCAGTTCCTAATGGTACACCTTGAAGATTCAAAATTGCATCCATTTTTCACACAACTTCTGTTTTCAAGAACCAAAAATTAAAAAAAAAAAAAAGAAAATTTATAACTTGAAATCACAAAAAAAAAAGTTGGTGAGTATGTATAGGTATGGAAGAACATGTGTCAATATCAACAAAAAAAGATTCTACCTTTTGGGAAATTGATGCCTACAAAGAAACTGATGAAGAAGAAGACAAATCAACTTATTAATTATCAAAAATTGCAATTTTTGGAGGTTTATTTAGAGGCAAAATAAAGGTAAAAACAGAGGTGTTTGGACTGGCTACACACTTGTGTCTTGTTTGTTTGTTACCATGCATCAAAATTTTTAGTGTTTGACTATATATTTTGAATATCTTTTTGACTATGATTTTGGATAGTTATTTGAGGAAGTTTCTTTAAATATCTATAGTTTTTAAAAAATTATCTTTAAATATTTATTTGATTATAAATTTTGAATAATTTTTTTAAAATTTATCCTTAAATATCTACTTTATAGTAAAATTAAATATAATTTTAAATTATTTTGATAGTTATTAAAATTTCACCTAGAACAGTTTTTGTATTTTTTAAAATTTATTTATTTTTTCAAATGAAGTGAATTTTTAAAGATAATTTCAGAATTTAAAATTATAACTTTAGTACTCATATTTTTAAATTTTTGGCCAAATGGAAGTGCTTTTTCTGATTACTTATTATTTGTATTGATGCGTATATTATTTTGTCCTTCATTTTATATTATGATATTAATTTATGGTGTTGAATTAGTATTTTGAGTTATACACACATTCCAAACAATTTTTTTTAATATAAATATAAAATTTCTCTTATAATTATTGAGTTTTTTGGATCACGATAAATAATTAGCTCGTCTCTTTCTTTGAATCGATCGAAATAAAAAGTACTTTAACAAATCAGCATCATTGTGAGTTGATTTCATAAACAATTACTAATATTTTATTCTACTATATCAAAGTTATAATTTATATTTTGTAATATAAAAATTACTCAAATTTTACTCATCGAGTCACGAAAAATATATTTCACGAAAACTTATTCTTTAGAATTATTAATTTCCCTTAACTAAAATGCCATCAACTTTATCCAAATTAATATTATATAGAATTATCCTTTGTTTTCTCTAATATATAACTTTACAAGGTACACAAATTCTTATTAACATAGTATACAAACTCAATAAAATCAATCAAAGGTTGAACCATGACCTCCAATACATAAGTGGACCCGAATTTCTCAAGACAACAATCCTCAAAACAAATTAATTATACAGTCGTCTATTTTAAGTCAATAGTTTTGTTAAAATATTCGAACTAAACACTAAATATTATTTAATTAACATCAGAACCTAAATAATATTAAATTTTAATTGCACAGCGCATGCCCTTATTAGCTATTATTGCACTGTATGGGTGTGCACGTAATAGTTCACTTTTGCTAAAACAAATAATAATTTTAAAATGGATAATTATATATAATAGCAAATTAATAACCTAAAATAAATGGAATAGCTAGGGTTTGATTTAATTGTGCTCCATAGCAAATATTAGCTAAAATTTGCCAGCGTCTCTCTCCCAAAAATCTCGCTCGCCACTCTCCATTCTCGCTCGCCTCTCTCGCTTTATACACAAAAGTGTATAATTCTGTTTCTGTTTTGTATAAAGCGAGAGAAAATTGTATATACACATGCAAAAATGTATATCTTCGTGTTATACACTTAATTATACAATTTACAAACATTTTACTTCAAATATTGCAGAGAAAAAGGCCAACGAATTATGCAATTGTGAATTATACAATTGCAGTGATATACAATTTTATCTAGCTTTATACAACAGAAGTGTATATATTGTGTTCCTGTTTTTGTATAAAGCAAGAAGAACATGTATCTTCTTGCTATACACTTATAATTATGCATTATACATATATTTTAATTCGATTCAACTGTATGCAAAGCAAATTATACAATTGCAGCGAAATAGGCCAGCGAATTACACAATTTAGGCCAGCGAATTATACAATTGTATATTTATAGCGAATTATACAGTTTTATGTTTGCTATGGAGCGCAATTATGCAAAATTTGTTATAACATACAAATGTGAATTTTTTGTTTGCTATATGTGAAAGTTGCCCATTTTAAAACGGGGAGAAATTTTCTCAAAAAAACAGAAGTTATAACAACAATATAGTAATATAATTTATAGTGGAATTTAAGGACATCAATTTAAGATAATAAAATATCAAGCTAAATGATATATAGTAAAAAATATAAATAAAAAAAAACTACATAACTATTAAACACTGTGTATGCACTACTATAAACACAAGACATCTAATGAACAACCCCATTGAACTATATATTGATCTTATATATATCTTAATTATTGATTTTTTTTATTATTTTTTATTTAAGATCATATAAAATATTGCTTTAAAATTAATGGATGTGATTAGAATTGATTGAAGTAAGTCGAAGCAATTAAAAGAAAAAAAATTAAGCTAAAAAAAGACTGTTAAAATAATCATGAACTCCCATGACTAATCGAATGCTTTAATTTTTCTATTTTTTTATGATCCTAAATCCTAATTATCATTTAGATTATATCCTAATCACAAGTGTTGTACTTTCTTTCTTCAGTTAACCAACGCGCCTTGATTTCCCCATTATGTTCTACGTGTAACTCACGCTTTACCCCACGGGGTATTTCTGGAATTTCCCTCACCCCACCCCCACGAGCGAGCTCGGGTCACATTGCTCTGTGCAGAAATGGTTAATTTTCATTGAAACTTTCGTCTTTACGAGTGAATTAATTTCCCATTTTTCTCGATATTCAACTTTTTTATCTTTCTGAATTCTGATTGATGTTTATTTGATTACTTGCTTAATTTCACATCCCCAGAATCTTAAAAAATGGGGTTGAAGGAATTTTGTGGGGTTCTTTAGGGTTTTAGCTTCAAAAATTTAGGTGAAAAAGAGAGGAAACAGAGATGTTAGATGCAAGAAGGCCTCATTTTCTTGTGGGTTTTAACCCTTTCATGAATTCTGAAAAATTGGTAAGCATTGGTTCACATTGCCATTAGCTTCACAACTTGTTGGTACATTCTTGTTTGTTGAATTTCTCTTTTTTGTTCCTCTATATTATGCTGGAATTATTCTTTCATCCTGTGTTGAGTTTGTTGCTTTTCTTACTGCATTTGGGCTAGTTGTTGCAAATGGGCAAAAAGGGGTTGAACAAGAATGTTCTTTTTGGATCAAAGCAACAAACTTTAGTGTAACTATAAGGACTATTCATTGGCTAATAATGCTGTTTTTGGAACAAAGCAACAAACTTTAGTGTACCCAGAATATGTTTTTCGATCAAAGCAACAAACTTTAGTGTAACTATATAGACTACTCATTGTCTAAGAATGTTGTTTTTTGAACAAAGCAGTAAACTTTAGTGCACCCAATATAGTTTGTTTTTGGATCAAAGCTGTACATTCATTCTTTAAGTTTAACAGGCTTCATAAGCTATAAAGTAAGATCTTAGCGTTCAGGAGTACAAAGGGGGGGATTGACTTAGGGCCCTGCATAGGTGTGGGACAGGCTCCATTTGAATGAGCTATGTCAGGCGTGTGATAATTTTGCAACATGGTTATTTTAAGGCAGTATTTAAGAGTTTTGTAATAGAGATCAGTATTCGTTGCTCTTCGAACGACTTACCTATGCATTTTATAATGAAGTCATTTTATTTTAAAAACAAACTCTTCTGAATAACTTTATGTTATCAACTCTTGCAATGTTTATTAATTGTTTTGATTCCTATATTGCAGAAAATTCCATCAAAATTCATTAAACATATGGAAGGAGGGGATTCTGGAACAACAGTTCTGGTGGGTCCCAGTGGAAATGCTTGGCCTGTGGACTTAATACAGCAAGATGATGGTTTATTCTTCAATAATGGATGGGTTTCATTTGTTAAAGATCACTGCCTTGAAACAGGGGATTCTTTGGTTTTCAGATATGACGGTGATTTGCATTTCACTGTGCAAGTATTTGACGAGAGTTCATGTGAGAAGGAGGCTTCTTATAATGCTGACTGCAGTCAAGGAGCAACTGACTTGTACAATCTTGCTCTGAAAAAAAGAGACCGAGGAAACTCTGTTTTATTAGATTGTATGGTTGAAGGTGTACCGAAGAAAATGAAAAGCACCGAGATCCCTTCCGAATGCACAAGTAGCCAGGATACACATGGTCTTGCATCTAGCAAGGATGGGTACACTCCAGAAGATGCAGTTTGCTCATATGCAGGAAGAAATTATGCTGCTAGTTTTCTGGATGAAATGGAGAATGCTGGAGATGCATTAAACAGTAAAGTTACCATTGCTGTGCCAGCTCAAGCAAAGATAATCTTTAGCAATCCAGGTAAATGGTTGTATTGTTTATGTTTATTGTTTTCAGTTCAATTTTTCTAGTTTGAGTAGTGTTCTTTGAATTGTCTATAAGTTTAATCAAGCCAATTTGATGTTACAGTTCATTTAATCATGCACGGACATTTAATAAACACCAATTTTTCTCGTTGAATTGTGCAACTGCCTCGGCGAAAATCTACGTGTTTAGAGAGCCGACACTTTCATTTGTATATTTAAGTTCAGAACATACTCTTCTCATGTGTTGCCTGATTCTTTACAACTATGTAATATTTATTACTGTGCGAAGTGTTTGTATACATTTTTGCCCTGCAATTCTCCTAACCAAGTTTTTTGTTGTTTTCGTAATAGCAATGAAATTTCAGCTGGTAGAAATAACTATATAACAAATCTTTTAGTAATGATTTGGAATAGTATCTGGTATTTTGAATCTAAAGCAAAGATGAAAAACAGGCAATGCTTCCTCCGAGAAAGATATGTGGTTGCCTGCACAGGAAGCAGAAAAGGTTGCTGGTTTGTTTACCTCAAGTTTGCCCAGCTTTACTAAAGTTATGAAGAGGTTCAACATCAGTGGCTCATACACCCTGGTGAGTAGGTCTTCTGTTTTCTTTAAACTATCATTTCCTGAAATGTCTTGCTGAACTACAAAATCTTATAGTAGTCTTAGCTACTGTAATGCATTGCTTCAACATATCTTACTATCAATAAGTGCATCAAATGAGCTTTTACGGAGGAAGACAACTTATATTTATTTACAGGATAATCAACATTCGGTTCCTTTATCCCCTTTTACCTTTCATGATGAATTGGCTAAACTCATAAAAAAATGGCACTGAAATCGATTTTTATTGACCAATCAGAATTGTTCATAAATCTTTTAAACATGAATGTTGTTGTTGAGGATTATGTGCAACGTGGTAAAGTTGTTTTGGTTGTAATAGTTTTGTTGCCAACATCTGAGCTGCTTAATGATGTTTCTGTTTGTTTTACTGACTGCATATTTGTTCTTAACCTGCTTGTTTTATAGTGACAGCAAGCCTATTTTGTTGATATGGCTGATGTTGTTATCTATTCCCTATGTTCCAATTTGTTTGTCTGGTTCTTGGCCCCAATTTAATAAGTAAAGGAAACGTTAGAATCTTGTGGTTTTAAAACAAAGACACTTAGAATGTACCAAAATGCGCTTTAATCTTGTGGTCTTAAACATGCTGGAAAGTTAGACTTAAAGAATTGTCAAAAAGGGAAAGGGCGTTCTTTTTGAAACGGACTATAAAGTGAAGTAAGACAAACATTTCATTTTACCTTTTATCAAACAAAAAAAGTAAGAGAAACAAATTGAAATGGAGGGAGTATATATTAATCTAATCCCCCAAGGAGTTGTGGCATTCAGTTGACTTTGTAGTCATTAGTGATTGATTTATGGTATGCCTGAGCTTTTGCGTGTGGGTTTGCTTGCTTCATCGTAGGAGATGAATCACTCTGGTGACATTGCCTTTATTTGATGTTTAGTTTGGAGTAATGTTGCAACAATTAGACAAGGTTATTCTTCTTTCACAACTCCTGCATGTGCATCACTTGGTTTGTTGATCTCCTTCATATTTTCTTTGGCAGCATATCCCTTACCAATTTGCCACGGAACACCTTCCCAACTGCAAGGTGAAGATTTTACTTCATAATTTAGAAGGGAAAACTTGGACTGTGAATTCAATTCCGACTACAAGAGTACAAACATCACATACCTTTTGCGGAGGGTGGTTATCTTTTGTTCGCGACAATAACATTGATTTGGGAGATACCTGCATTTTTGAGCTTGTCCGCAAGTGTGAATTGCGTGTGCGTGTTCTTAAGGCGGAAAAGGAAGGAAGTGATTACAGTAGTAAGGTAGTTGATGAAGGACTAGTTATTGATTATGCAAAAAATTCTGGATGTAAGTCCAGGAAAGTGGGATCGAGTTCTGATCAAGCGAAGGTTATGACATATGATAAAAAAGGATCTACTCCTGAAAAAGAGAAACATGGCGATATGTTGAAGAATCATCAGCTCCATTCTCAGTCAAAGATTAGCAGTGGAGATTCAGGTAATTTGAAGGACAATTAACTAACTTATTTTAGGTGTCCGTCCTCACACTGAATTTGTATTGAATCCTTTCAACTATCGTGCTCGAACAGCTATCAGGAAACCTACTAGTTCTCAAGATAAACAGGGTTCTTTCACCAAGAGCTGTATGTCTATGAAATCAGTACCTGAAGAGAAATTAGCCGCTGAGTCTTTCATTTCCAATTTCCCTCATTTCGTGCGAATCATGAAAAAATTCAACATTAGTGGCTCTTACACCTTGGTGAGTTCTTCTGCATGTTTTTCCTTTTTATTTATTCTTACTGTCCCAACCTTTTCCATCCCATCAAGTTGCATAATATGGATTCCAAACATTCATGATCATCTTCGAAGAATTTTTCCTTTTCAATATTTTTCTATTGGAGCTTGTTAATTCTTTCTCAAATGTTTAATATATGTCAAAATCATTGTTTCCCAACATAAACAATTATTTTCTACTAGAAACTAAATGCCCACTGGACTTGACGCCTAGTTTTGTCTCTCTATAAAGTTGATGTGTTTGGTATTTGACCCCTCTTTGGCTTCTAGTAGATAACTCTTGTTTGATAAGGGCCTTCTAACTTGGCATAAAATCAACAGTCAAAACAAAGTTGTTGCCCGAGTGAACTTCTTTTTTCTTTTTGATGAAGTAATATGTTTTTTTAAAAAAACATTAAGGAGATGTATATATACAAGAGGCATAGTTAAGTAACAGATTGACAAAAGAGAGTATTTCTGTCAGCCCCCTATACAAAGTTTTGATCGAAGACTTTGCATATAACCAAGTTAAGACAATTGTAGGAGCTCCAGTCATCCGTGTAAATGATGTGAATCTTGTTAGCGATGCCTTTTGTTTTTACATCACTGACTTATAAAGTTAATCATAAATTTTGTGGTGTCAATTCTATTGGACTTACATCAAAGTAAATAGATCGTGACCCCCCTAACTTGTCGAGTCTTATTCGGTGCACACCTAAACTTGGCATTGGCCTAATTACTCCCATCAACTTGGTAATTTGACTGTCACAACCCCCTTGAACGCTGACATAGGCGCTGCTACATGGAATTCTTTTCTTAATTCATGTAACTTTCTTTAGATAAAATATATTTTTTTCCTTTTTAAGTTTACTAATTATATAAATCATCTTTTCAGAGCCAGTTCTGTAACAAATAAGAAATAACATAAAATGGAACAACAATATTTTGGCTATAAGTTTTTTATTTGGCTAAAGATATTATATTCTAAATAAGGCCAAGACAAGAAGAAATACACCTTTACGAATAATCATTGCATCCAAAAAAGAGAGGAATTAAATTTGATCTAAATATTTTACGTATTTGACCCGAAAATAGAACAATGCACCATTGAAATAAATAGTCTTGGCATGAAACTGAGTTGAGATTGCTAAAGAAGGAAATTAAAACTGGTTTAACTGGTTATTTGTAACGATTAAATGTGAGTCTAGCCGTTGTATGGATCAGCATGCATACTTTTGATACTATCTCAATGTGCTGTAAGTAGAGCTGCTTCATTTATTAAAGAAAACGTAATATTAAGTAAAAGCATCACGACTATTTTGGTCTTGAATAGATTACACCAATGGCATTCTCTTCATTTCTGCTGATACTTGTTCCTTAGGCCAGTTTAAGGTGTTGGATGTTATGGCGTTTCTCATGCTATTCTTTGCTTTAAATTCATGTTCTTTGAGCCTTCTACGTCTTTTACAGAAAGTTCCATGTCGGTTCTCAATGGAACACCTCCCAAACTGCAGAACAGAGATTGTGCTTCAGAACTTGAAAGGAGAATGTTGGACTGTAAATTCAATTCCGACTGTAAAGGTACAAACGCTGCACACATTCTGTGGAGGATGGTCGGCATTTGTCCGGGAGAATGACATCCAGATGGGAGATATCTGCATATTTGAGCTCATTGGGAAATATGAAATGCGTGTACATGTATGTGCAATTGGGAAGAAGGGGTTAGATTACCAAAATGGGACAGCTCCTAAAGAGTCGGATATCCTTGCTTCCTTGACAAGCTAGAGACCTTTGGTGTGAAACACTGTAGGAAAGATTACTTCTTGCGTAATACAAGGTGAGGGATAAATTCTCTTTTTTATTCTAATAATTATGGTTCAAATTGCATTTGATAGAGTGTCGCGTACCTTTTTACAGTTTGCTTGCATAGTGCTATTACAAAGCGCCACAAAATTTTGAAATATGAAGGGGGGTTATGGTGCTGTCCTAAAAAGGATAGTTGCAATTTTCTGCTATTTGTATGACGAAATGATGATTTCCCTTCTCTTAACTGTTTCAGTTTCTTTCTTTTCTTTTTCCCAAAGGCGTTTACTATTTCAGTATCTGTACTTTCTTTACATCAACATAAGAACATTGCTGTCCAATTCCATCATCTGGTGGTTAACGACTCTTCCTTTCAGGCTTGGTGTTTCACTGGAAGATAACGAAACTTGAATACATGGGATCAGAAAAGGTACACATATCAATGTTATGGAGAAGCACTTGAGTAGATTATCAAACATTTGACTAGGTTGGCCATATGCCTTCAGTAGCTTAGATGTTTTGTTGTTGGCATTGTCTGAGCACTCTTTTCAGACTCTGTGTTGTATAAGTACTGCCAGAAAAGCTTCTCATTTTCTTGATGTAAATAAGTGTGTTTTTAGTTCAATTGTCCTGAAACAATCTGCTGTTTGGTCTGTATATGTATAAACAGTAATCAGACAGAACATCTTCTAGAATGAGAAATTAAAGTTTCACTCTACTGGATCACTTCTTCTTTTTTTTAGTATGGTGAACGAATAGAAGTACATAGAAGGGGGAATGACATAAGAGACCCTTGTAATTGGTTCCGTTTGTAAGTTTGATCCTTTACTTGCGTCTTTTTCAACCTAATTCTTGAACTTACTGAAATTCAATAATGTTTTCTTGAAGAAAAAATTGACTTTTAACTTATTTTCTCATATTTGGTTGGTGAGTAGAAAATGATTTTTTTATGTTAAATTTATGTAAGGAAATAAAAACCCAAAAACTTAACCTAATTTTCAACCCTGATCTTAGTTGAGTCACTTTTATTTTTGCCGTTTTTATTTGATTTTGACGATTAAATTTTTCATTGAAAGGAAAATAGATACTTTAGATCTTCAATAAATTTATTAATTTATTGCTTCATTTTCTGTAAAAGGGAGAATAGAAACATAGTTTCATTACCAATAAGAGATCTCTATTTTTTTTCTAACGAATTGCACACCACAATTATTATTTTTAAAAATACAATTAGTCAAAGAGGTAAAGTGCCAAGCTTTTCAGAAGAAAATAATTTGAAAAACAAAAAATCAAAGAGAAATTAAATTCCACAAAATTTCATCCATAGAATTTTGTGTCTCTGAAAATTAAAGTGACTTTGTAATCTGAAACCTAGAGTCCTCAACCATATCATTGACCACTAAGCCATACCCTTAAATGTAGTGGAATTTGAAGTTTTAAAAACCACACTTTGTTATTTATTGGCCCAAATACTCGATAATCTTTACATTATTGAAAATCAACATTCAAAAGGAACGAACCTTCAATCACACCATCAATGTCAACTTTCTTTTATTTTGGATAATCTAAGTTTTTAAATTGCAGTAAAATAAAATAAAACCCTAAACTTCTTCTAGGTTGAGACTTAGTAAATATGAATTATATAAAGAATTCATGACAAATGAGACATAAGAATAGTGCCAGCAAATTACTTTTTTGATATCTTATCTGTGATATCGGAATTTTAACTACCATAAATTTATGAATGAAATATCACTTATCTATTAGAGAGGATTTAATCTCCCTTATAATGACATTGATAAAAGCAAGTACAAGTGCTCTTTATTTCTTAATTACAAATCCTTAAATAGATAAAAGCTACGAATAACATAATATCCTTAAATAGATAAAAGCTACGAATAACATAATAGTATATTACTCCAAATTATTTTGATTTATTTAAAATGACTCCACTAATCCTGATGTGGTCTAGGAAACAAAATAACTTATTTGACTCCTAAACAATAGCAACATACAAACCACTGATATTGTACAAGTAAAATTCAATAAAATTCTAGCTCTCTCAAACACTTTTAAAATTGTTATTTCTGTTTTGTCTGTGTCATATTATGACCTACACAACAACAACAACAACGAATTTAGTGAAACTCTACAAAGTGGAGCCTGAAGTCGAGAGTTTACGCGGGCCTTATCACTATCTTTTCGAGATAAAAAAATTATTTTTAAAAGATCATCGACTTAAACAAACCAAACAATAATTAAAAAAATATGAATTAATAGCAAAGCAGTGTGGACCATATATACAAAAATCTATAACAACAACAAGGTGCAGAGCATTATTCCAAACTAAGATTCAAAGTTGTGATACTGTCATAATAAAAATGACACATATTTTGACAACATAAAAAATAAATAACCATAAAATATATCATAGAAAAATGAATATATTAGAACAGCTCACTCCAATATTAAAAGAGAGAAAAAAAATATTTTCCCACCACAATGCCATAATCCTTGAGCTTAGCTATTTATAAGTAAAAAAAATGTTTTCTTGGATAAATAGAAAAAGAAATAATAATTAAACATAACCAATCACTTCACAAATAAGAGTGTATTGACAGAAATATGTCTGTAACACTCAACCATTCAACTCTAGACTAATCTGGAATTAGATAGTCATATCCCAGCTTAACATTATCAAATACTTTTTTCGTTTTAAAGGAAATTTGTGCATTATAGCAAATTATTAATTTAAAAATAAATAATATAGCTACAGTTTCATTTAATTCTAATTCGTAGAAAACATATTGACATTCTTTTCTCTTCCTGGAACTCGCTCGCCACTCTCTGCTTCTCCTCTTTCACTTTATACAAACAGAAATGTATAAGACAGTACACCTGTTCTGGTACATCACTCAAAGTCTCGATACATCATGTCTCAATACATTACCTAGTTGATACAAGACAAACCTGTCCCGATACATCTTTAAGGGTGATGTTCGAGAATAGAAAAGAAAATAGATTTTTGCAATTTTTTCTAATGATAGGAAATTTTAGAGTATATGGTAAAATAAGATGTGTATTTAGATAATTTTTCCTAAAAATAAATACACTAACTATTTACATTTTTTGATAGACAACTATATAAAGTATAAAAGTTCCTAAATCATTCTAGTTTTTAGTTATACTTTATGATATTATTATGCCTTATATCACACTATTTACTTACTAATTTGTCATAATGACACATTTTATATTTGGAAACAAATATGAGTTTTTGGAAAAATTATATTAGGAAGTGTTTCCCCATGAATGATGCTGCATGACGCAAATTTAGATTAATCGGCTTCAATTTGAATGTCAGAACCTCGAATTTGAAAATAAAAAAATAAAAAAGTCACCATCAATTAAACTGCAATTTATAAATGGGCCGACACATTGGACTATAGGCCTTTTTAGCTTTTGTTGGGTTGTTTTGGTTAGCTGTAGTGGGCCTGTGTGTTAAAGGGCACAGACAATAAAATCTTTGAATTAATTTCAACAACATTATTATATCTGTCAAATAATAATTCTGAAATTTTGTTTGAAAAAAATTTAAGAAAAAAATATGTGGTTGATCTTTGATTTTTTTAAATCACATTGTACTATAATTTCAGTGAATAATGCAACATTGCATTCTGACAAAACATTAACATCCAGCAATTCGCCGAAAAAGATAAAATAGAAAATCATTCCCTACATAAAGTGCCAAACATTTAATTCTCAAATACAGTAATAACAATTTGAAAGAAAATAATAAAGAGTTTGATACAGTCAAACTTGATCTTGATTGTACCTTTTGTGAATTAAATAATTATTATGATTGCTCTTCTATTATTGTCAAATTATTTGTCTTGCATACTTGAACCTTTTTAATGTATTCTCTGGGAAATAAAAACACACATACACTACCTATTGCCTCACTTTTATCTACTTCCTTATTTGGTTAGACATTAAATGTAATATTTTTATATCGATATATATGTACATAATGTTTAGTCATATGAATTTTAGACATAGTCTTGTATTATTCGCACAAAAATTAGATATCGTAAAAAAAGATTTACCGTGAAAAATATTAAAATTGATGAAATTTTTATACATACCTACGTACGTTCTAAATATTAAAATGGGGTGCAACAGTTCAAAACTTATTATATCATAAAGTAGTTGCAATTTTAATCAGTACCTACTTGAAATGTAAAAAAAGAGGGAGGGCCCAATTAATATGCCCTATTCTTATGAATATTTACGATTTACAAATAGGATTTTTTGGTACAAACTGTTTAAGATACTTTTGACTAATATATTTATATGATTCCATGAACCAACGTAAGCATTATTTTATCTGTTTAAATTTATTTGGCACATATAGATATAACTTTTTTTTAAAAAAAAACTTTTAAATCATGCTATTGGTTTTAAATCGAATTACTAGCGAGTAAGTAAGATTAATGAAATCACAAAACACCATAAACAAAACAATTAATTCATTGTGTATAGATTAGATTCATAGCGAACAAGACAATGAAGTATCAACAAACCTTCGTAGACAGAGAATAGGAATTCAATACTCAATCCAAGCAAAATGACTATCTAAGGAAATTTGGAGTCTTCTTCCTCACTATATTGGAGTTAAAAGTTGTGGTATAAAATAAATTTTAGATATTCGTATGATTATAAATTTTTAAAAAAAATATTAAAATTAAAATTAAATTTTTCTTATTATAGAAAAATGACATTTATATACTCTAAATGGGGAAAAAAGTTATTTTGACGGTAGTAGCTATAATATTATTGCTACAGCCTATAAAGTGTGATCGACCCATATATTCCATAAATTCGTTTGAATTCACAGCCATTCTATACATGATTAGATTTAATCATGTTTATTGTTTTACACTATCAACATAATTTCAATTACAATACTTAATTCTTTTGAATAACTAGTTTCCCCTATTATTAACAAATTATTTTCTATTCTTTTAATGATTTAGTCATATATTTTTAAAATTAAATATTCGTTAAAATTATAATTTTAAATCTGTCACATCGATGAGATGTTACGAGTAGTTGAGAACAAGTGCTGAAAATACGTACGTATGCAGTGGTAGGGGTGGGGGTAGAATAATGCATATATGTTGCTATCAAAATGTTTGTTATTGAAAGCGATGAACTACCCTAACTTTAGCTTCTCAATTATTGAACCTTTTTTATGTTTGTTTGTGTACACTTTTTGACTGTCTTTTCTTTCTCATCTCTTCTACTCCCCATACCATTCCACAAAATTCAAAATTAATACTAAAAATCAAATAATTTAGACTAGTAGCCTTATGTACACTAAAAATATAAAGACAAAAACAAAATGGATCTTTGATTTGAATTACACGTAGAACCTGGTCCACAAATATAAATTAAGAAAATTTATACAAACTAGACATACGATAATATCATATTTATTGTTATTATTATTTATATTTTCAAAAATGTTATTTTTGCTATAAAATATACAAAAAAAAATAGAGAAAGGCGAGCGATATTCGTATACATACAAGATACATGTATATTTGTATATATCTGGAGTGATTCGCATGTACCTTGGATACTAGATATAAGACAGAGTGGCGAAAAAGATGGGAGAGAGACGAGCAAGATCTAATATGTATCTCAAATACATACAGATA